ATTGATTGGTTTGCATGAAAGGTATAACACCTACAAACTATGGTATATATACTGGATTTTTTTTTTATACTAATGGCGGTGATCAGCAACTTATATTGGGACTGCAAGAATGCGGCGGGCAATCTGACTCTAACATCACCAGTGACATTTAATACAGTGATCGAAACCAAAAATTACGTTAACTGAGGCATTCGTAAACCGAGGTACGCCTGTATTTTATGAATATTCACTCCATTACACTTAAACTACTTCTGTATTGCATTTATTGTTGGACAAAATATCTTCTCTCTTTCCTCTTTGGGGTTTTAATGCTGACTTTGCTGGAGCTGTCCTCACGCAGTATTTCTTTTCTACCAGAAGATGTCCTCGGTCTTCCTGTCTGAATGACAGCCAGCATCATTCAGCCCATTTCCTTTGAGCCCAGGTAGCACAGCGAGGGAGCACACCTCTTTGTCATTATGCCTTCTCCTTTTATCAGCATACTCTATGGATATGGAGGCAATGCAGTGAACAGGTAAGGGCTCATTTTGCTACAACTTCAACACACATTAAAGCACCTACCGCTTCAGCATGCTTTTTGATGCTTCGGTGATGCTTGTTTGAAGCTTTATTAAAGCTTGGCAGATGCCCTGTGTGTTTGTGTTGATTTTCTATTTTTTGTAAAGGGGCCCAGTAGAACCCTGGTAGTACCCCTCACTCAGCAGATCCCCAAATCCTTAGTACCCCTGTTTAGCATTGGTACCCTCGCTTAGCAGATCCCCAGCTTATTAGTACCCTGGTTCCGCAGATCCCCTGCTCAGTAGTACCCCCAGCTCTGCTGATGCCCCACTCAGTAGAACCCCCACCTTTGCTGAGCTCTGGCTAATTCGTAACCCCCTACTCTGCTGATGCCCCGCTCAGTAGAAAGCCCCAGCTCTGCTGATCCTCCTCTCTCTCTGGTCCCTCCTCACCACCTGCTCATTGCTCCCATCCTGAGCACCACATGTGACAATACTAGTTTTTCCTGCTCTGGTTTGCCAGCTCTGTTGATCCTTCGCTGCTCAGTCCTCTCTCCAGTCACCACTCACCTTCCGCTATAGCATTCCTATGTTGCACACCATGTGTACCATCTGCTATTTGCTCCGATCCAGTCTGAAGGTTTTTTACCTTCCGGCATAGAATGCAGGAAAGTTAAAAAAAACCCTTCAGCCTTTACAATCACTTTAAAGCCAAAATTCAGGAATGGATGTTTTTGTATAGTTACAATGATCTAGGCTGGAGCAATGCAAGTATGTATGTGCCATACCTGGCCAATCCCTGAGGAATCTGGAAATCATTGTAGTAGGCACATTCACTACAGTGATTGTGGCTAGATGCTTGGTCCCATGCTGAGTGGCTGCTCTGCTGCTTAGTGAACACAGGAGGTCGCTTGCTCGGTGCAAGCATCATTCAAAGAACACTTTGCATTTTCTCAATGAATGCTAAGTGTTCTCTTATTGAATGAGGTGGAGATTGTGATGTCACCGTCGTTGCCTATCCACCTCATCCAATCAGAGAATGCTTTGCAATCATTGAGAACACGCAAAGTGTTCATTGAATGGCGCAAGCAATTGACCTCCCATATTCACCAAGCAGCAAGGCAGCTGCTTGGCACAGGACCCAGAAACTAGCGACGATCACTGTAGTATTAGTGCATACTGATTTCCAAGGATCGGTCAGGTATGGCACATTCATACTTGCTGTACATTGGACTAAGCTGGACCAATGCAACCATTTAAATATATCCATACCTAAACTCCAGCTTCAAGAAATAATGATTATAATTTCCATAAAACATGTGTCCAGAGGCAAACTTAGTATGGTATGGATATTACCATAGTATGTCTGCAGAGACAAAATCAGTCTGTGCACTCATTTCCCCAGAGCTTAGTAAATGTGGTAAAGCTCTGATGTCCATCATCCAATCATGTGTAAGCAAAACATTTATTTATTTAGTTTTTTTCCTTGCACCTGATTTGGGGGTATTCTTTACAAAGTAAAGCTTTACAACATTTACTGAGGAGAATGAGTGCAACTGCACTTGCAAACTGTAATCTATTTGCCTTTAGTAAATCAACCCCATTGTGTCACACTAGGCCTGTCCTGGCCATTCAAGTGTATGTGTGGAAATGTAAGTTTCCATGTCATAGTTGAAGAGGCAGGAACAATGCTCAGTTTTCTGTATGCCATGGGACCTTTCTCTGGTTTCCTGCTGCATCATCCATTATGATATTTTGGAGAAGGTCAATAAGATCATATTTATAAAGATGCCAGAGTCTGGGTTAGTACTAGCTGCTCTTCCATTGCAAAGATAGCAAATTATAAATTGGTTGTACCAAGTGATTTTCTTTTGATCTTATATTATATAAAATATAGCTTTTATATCAAAGATCTTATGTTTATTTTGCTTATTGGCTGTTATCTTACGGGGTATTTGATAATATTATTCATTCCCCTCTTGGACTCAGATGCAGGAATAAGTCCAGACACAGTAATCTTGCACTTCCACTCATTGCTCTCTGCACACCTACTTAGCTTTGTGGGTGGCTGCAACTTTTCTGGCTGTCTACACATTTAAGTTTATTATATTTCTATATTCCATACAACTATTTGCTGTCTCTGCAGCTTCTCACTGCACTCCTCTCCCGTCTGATTGTGTTTCTATGGCCTCTCACTGCACCCCTCTCCTGTGTGACTGTATCCCGTTTTTCACTGCACCCCTCTCATGTGCGACTGTATCCTCAGTTTTTCACTGCACTCCTCTCCTGTGTGGCTGTTTCTGAAGCTTCTAACTGCACCTCTCTCTCATGTGACCGTTTCTTCAACCTCTCACTGCACAATCTCCTGTGTGGCTCTCTGTCAATAGCCTGTCACTGCACTCCTATCTTGGGTATCTCTAAAACTTCTCTCTGCTCTATAAAAACGTATAGCTAAAATAATGCAACGCATGGAAACATGCACTTAAGAAACCACTAAGATTTTCAGCTCAGAAGTGTAAATGAGTGTTTACATAGGGTGGGGGTAATACAGGGCTGTAAAGAACAGAAAGTTTCCAGTTTTTTGGAGCCCTGCTTCTCGATCGAATTAACTTACATTAATTAACTCGGTGTAGAGCTATACACCCTGAGGTCATCACAGAGGACAAGGGGGCGCTCTTTACATCTGGAGGAAAAGAAATTTAATCTCCAAACACAGAAAGGTTTCTTCACAGTGAGAGCTGTGAAAATGTGGAATAGACTCCCTCAAGAGTTGGTTCTGGCCAGCTCAGTGGATTGCTTAAAAAAAAGTCCTGGATTCTTTCCTAGATACACAGAATATAACTAGATACTAACATTTATAGGTAAAGTTGATCCAGGGAATATCTGCCTCTCGGGGGATCAGGAAGGAATTTTTTTTCCAGCAGAAACAAATTGGATCATGCTTTGCTGGGTTTTTTTTGCCTTCCTCTGAATCAACTGTGGGTGTAGGATTCTAACTTTTTTTTTTTTTTTTTTTTAATGGTTAAATTGGATGGACTTTTGTCTTTTTTAAGCCAGACTAACTATGTAACTACATTCACCATATGCATTTAAGAAATATCGCTCAAAAGCTAATAAAATGCTGCTTGATCAAAAGTAACTAGCCAGTGGATTTTTAGCTGGTGTGGTATGCAAGTTCCATCACTCACCTTACATTTGCCACACGCTGGTGACAGGATTGTTAAAAAGTGCTGTTAACAATACTTTCCTTTTCCCACAGGTCACTGTATTGCTCCCGCTCTGTGGGAAACACAGCTGAATGTAATCTGCCAGTGAGAGAATGACACCTAATTCAGCAAGCGAGGAATTAACCTGTGCAAACAAGTAAGGTTTATCTGTGTCCTGCATTGAGATCTTGTTATTGTCCAAGACATCGCCATTGGCATAACCCCAAGACACCAGCTTTACACTTTTATTAGGTGCTCGGTCCTCTTCCACTTAACATAGAGCTACATATCCCTGTCTTCCCCCCAAACCAGCTCAGATAAAGAACATGGTTTGCAAAAAATGGGCCTTATTTATTAAAAAGAAAAGTAAAAGCAAAAAAGTGTCAGTGGTGTACACAGGTGTTTTCCTTCACTTCCATTTCAGAAATAAAACAGGCAACTCATTAGGTTATTGTAAATCAGCAGACATCTATCTTCCTTTCATTATAAGCTAGCTCCCATATTTAGTGACTTTTGTACTTATTGTGGTATGGTCTCATGGTTGAATTCATTTTTTCCTGGCACCGACATGGTGGCATACTTGTGTTGGTATACTGCCATGGATTGGCACAGAAAAGGAAAAATTACAGTAAGTATTTGACCCAATTTTCCATATTCCTGGTGTCAACATGGCAGCATAGTAAACACATGTATGCTGCCATGGTTTGGCACCAGTAAAGGAAAACTACAGTAAGTATTTAACACAATTTTCCATTTTTTTTTTTTTTTTGGTCACTAAAGAAAGCAAAATACCTTTTGCTAAAAGGCACAGTAAATGACTGCACGATGCACTGGAAAGAGAAAGAAGGGACCACAGACATTATTGGTATACAAACACAAGGATATTAAATGCATACATAGGCATCATTGCAGGCAAAAAAGGTTGCAAAAATGTCCTTCATTGAAATGTTACCATTAAAACACACAAGATACAGTATGTCTAATGTATCATCTACACAGGCGAGTAAAGTAAAATACAGACTCAAAAGGGATAATGTATTAATATCCATCTCTGCTTACTCATACAATATTTAGGACAAGTCAGATGGTGTCTGTAGATATAGAAAGTACCTAGATGACCTCTCACACTGGCACTTGCACCTTAGCATAGCTTACTGAACAAAGTCCCAAAGCCAACAAGGGGATACATTTTCTCTTTCTTTAAGGGGACAAAGGGCACATTAAAGATGTATAAAAATCCTGGATTCTGGGATGGAACCGATGGGGACTGGAGTATATTAGGGTGGAATAAATAAAGTCAGACTCGGAGGATCTCTAAGCAGTTGTTGTAACAGATGGCGATCCAATCAGGCTGGGTACTTGCCCACTGGACGTTGTTGATTTCACCCTCTGCTGTGTATGCTAGGATGGGATCCTCAATAGCCCGTGGCATTTGCTGAATATCCCAGATCAGAGCTTGGTGATCGTCGGCTACAAGTTTTGAAGAAATACAGAATTACGCAAATACATAATAAAAACAACACAAAAGACATGTTAGTAGTGCAGTTGAATGCCAAAACATAGCACTCATAAACAAATCCCATTGAGCATTAGTGGGAACTAGCTTTCCCGCTTGCGATTTTTAAAGTGCGATTTACACACGAAAAAACACGTGTTGCACATATCCTTTTTGGGAGACAAAACTTTGTGCGATATTTAAAACACACTGCAAAATTGTACAGGGTTTGGGGCGCCACTAAGAATAATGGCAACTAAACATGCATTGCGCGATTTGAAATTGCAACGATTCTGCTTGTAATTCCAAATTGCTTTAGGTGAACAGGGCCTAAAAGTGCCCCAAGGGCCAGTAAACAAGCAAATGCAAGCCATTAAGAGACAAACTAATACAGCCAAATAAATGTTTAAGCTTTTATGTAGTCACTTAAATCTAGTTATAAAGCAAACTACTTTTACAGTGACTTTGTGAGGATTAATTCTGCTCTCAAATTCTGAAAAAGGAAGGATCAAAACAAAAGCTAAAAAAAAAAAAAAAAACCCCAAAAAACATCAGTTTATAAATTTACCTGCTGTACAGATGTGACATGAGGAGTGTGGTGCCCAGGCAATGCCGTTCACACAAGCACGATGGTTATTCAGCCTGGCCACAGGTGTACAGGGCACTCGTACATCCAGAATCACTACCTGTACACAGAATGTCAGAAAATCCTCTCAAAAGTGGTGCCAACAAAAGTTAACATATTATTACATATATTGCAGTGGCTAAATATACAGCTAGCAGGCCATTTAATAACAACCCCCATCTATACCATAACACGTGTGCCAATGTTCCCTTTCCAAATTATAAGCAAAATCACCTTCATACAAATCATGAGATTTTACTAAACCCAGTACCCTGCAATCACTATATCTGGTCTCCCCCATAGTACACAGAATATGTAATTATATTAGTAAATATAAACTGCTAAATACCTTTTCTCATCAGCAGTTGGAGCAGTCTTGTGACTTCTATCAGTGTCCAGCAGAGCACTGGTTAATGCTTGTAAAAGGAGTTTTTATTCTCCTCTAGAAGGATGCAGGATCCCTGACCTCTGTCTGGAAAGTGTTGAATGGCCCTGTACTTATCACATGCACTCTCCCAAGAAAAAAAAAAAAAAACCTCTCTAGCAATACTGAGCATGTGCAGAATGACTCCACACGATGTGTCTTAGGAGATAAGGGGGGGGGGGGGTTGAGACACTGGAATAAGGGGAGGATTAGAGAAGTCAGGATCAAACAGCCTTTTTACACAATGCAGAGGATTAACCCCTTAGGTTCCACAGTGAGCATAACAAGCATCCTTAACTGCATATACAGACTGATTTTACTGTTGTGGGTTTTTGAAAAACTTTAAAGTAACAAAAAGGACCCTATTACCTCCATCCCATCCATGGCCATGGTTGCAAGGTAGTTGGGGTCTTGCTTGTTCCAGCACAGTCTGAGCAGAGGGTGGTGTTGGGGGTCTTCATAAATAATGGTGCTGTGCTCCAGGTGACGCAAATCAAACATTCTTACAGAGCCATCGGCTCCTACAGAAGCAAACATATCTCGGCCCCCTCCGGCTCGGCTAAACGCAATATCGTACACCTGTAATGAGGAGACAAAAGTAGTCTACTTTATCTACATAACTGGGCACAAAGGCAAGTCCATACAAGCCAGTAGCAAGCAACTGCACATAACTCTTCCTACGTACTGGCAGTTCAGCAAATCATAGGTGTTCTTTTATTGGGCTATTAAATCAAGGCTAACAGAGTGAGCAATGACTGATTCAGAGGACGTGTTTTAAATGGCCTGGATACTTACAAGAAACAGCATTAATCTGGGTGGTGGCAATAATCGATCTAGAAATTTAGCTGCACGAAGCTATAAAACAATATGCTGATCTCCGGTGAACTGGCCAATTACTATGCAGGGGCCACCAAAGAACTTTTTTCATCTAAGGCTCCATACACACTAGCTCTTTTTTTTTTTTGTAAAGATTAAAAATAGCATTTTTTTTTAGTAGCATTTAGGAGCATTAGCGTTTTTATCAGTGTTTTTACAGTACATATAGGAAAAAAAAAAAAAAAAAAAAAAAAGCTGTTAGGTGCGTTTCTACAAAAACTATTTTTTTTCTGCTCCTAAACGCTGAAGCTTGAAAAACGCTATTAGCCTAAAATAGTGTGCATGGACACACAGCATAACACAATTTAGCTTCTAGGAGCAGAAAATATGCTGATAACAGCTTCTGGGGGCTTAAAAAAAATGCTACTGTGCATGGAGCCTTATAAAAGTACATTTTTTAACCTTTTTTCTTCATGTAAATGCTGCTATCTGGTGCTTCGTGCTAAGATCCTTCAACAAAAGTGTGATCTCACAGACGCGAATTGCAGAAAAAGCAAGGGAGAGTGTCGAAGCAGTTCTTTTACTGAATGCTGATTACTGAGTGCACTGGCTTTAACCTATTAGACTGTACTGTGTCATTTAGACAGCCTGCATTGCTGCTGTAACAGTAAAGTGGAGACATCACTATGAAAATGAAGGTTGTTGTCCAAACAATGGTAAATCTATCTCTGCAACTTCAGTTGGACTTTAAAGTGTAACTTTGTGCAAAATGACTATAAGTACCCAGCCCATCACATCTGTGCATATAACCAGGCACCTCAGATGCACTCCATTGGTGTTTCATACTGCCCTGACCTGGCCAGTGGCTGTGCTGTAATTTGTCTGTTCTAGCAGTCTCTACCAAGTCACAATCACTGAGCATGGCTGTGGAGTAGAACAGCCATAACTTTACATATGAGTGCACAGGGAAGACCATTATCCTCCATGCCTATTGTTGGCCTATGTGGCCTAATGTGTGCAAACAAAACCCCATTTTTAATGCAATCTTTTAGGCAGGGCCAAATCGGTTTTGCAGGCTGGCTGGTAAGTGTTGCTGGGAAATCCTGTGTTTGCGATGTGCATTGCCCTTCTCTGTGCACCTTACTGGTTATAGGTTTGGACGGTTGCCATTTTTTGTGTAGTTGGCTAATTTGGAGGCAACGATGCACTTGCTGTCATTTTGGTATAGCTGGGAGTCACGTGTGTCCCTGTACCTTTAAGGAGTGATGGGCTCCTCCAGGCACACCTGCCCTCAACCTATACATTGATATATGTGCTCCTACTATGGAGGCTCTGGTAATTTTAGAGTTAGGTCCATAATATACAGAGGACCCTTGATGCGGGACTGCGGGAAATGTGAGCAAACAAAACCCTCTGTTTTTAACGCAAACTGTTAGACAGGGTCAAATTGGTTGTTTTGCAGCTGGCTGGTAAGTGTAGCTGGGAAATCCTTTGTTTGCGATGTGCATTGCCCTTCCATATACACCTTACTGTTAAGGCTGGTTATAGGTTGGGGTGGTTGCCATTTTTTGTGTTATTGTTGGCCTATGTAAGACACTACGTAGAATGCTGCTTGCAGGACCAAAATCAGTAAATAGCATTTAATACCTCCTACTGCCCATAGTAGGTGTCAAAAATTGCCCCTTTACCACAGGTGATGCTGGTAATTTGGAGCAGTGCAAAGCTAACCTGACTACATCTTCATTCTCTGTCACAAAAAACACTATCAAGTCTGCGATATACTTACAAATGACTGACCCGCAAGGTACGTGCTATACCTCAGCTTACAACCCTCTTGTACAGCCAGAGGTGCAACACACCTTCACACACTAAACCTCCATCTGTCCCAGTGAACCTGAGATAGTAAAAATGTAGGAGATGCCAATTCTAAATTGCTGTGTAGGGATGTAAACTCCAGAACCATTTTCTGATCTTGCCTACTGAGTTGCTGACCAACCATGCTTAAGAGCTATGCGAACTTCAATTGCTGCATGCTTTCCCAGGTCAACAACTCATTTAGGTAGCAAAGCCAGAGCAGGACAGACACTCCAGAGAATACACATTTTAAAACCAAAGATCAAGCTGCTCTAATATTTCTGTCCCAAGAGACTCACTTTCATTTACTGATACTTGTGCACTAATTTTGTACAAATGCTTAGAGTTAATCAGAAACCACAAACTGAAGAACTCTGAATGGATTAAACCAGAACAAACCAGTTATCTCATATAGTCATGCAGAAAAGCTATACACATAAAATACTTTATAAACAACCCCAACAGACGAGACCACTCATACATATCATTGTACGGGGCGTAGAGTGAGGACGACTCACCTCTTTGTCATGAGCAATTAACTGTGTTTTCACGTGACCAGACACCAAGTTCACCCTTCCCAGGACCTGACCTGTCTCCAGACCCCAGATGGTGCAAGTTGTGTCAATGCTGGAAGTTCCTGATAGAAGCAAAGGGGAAGGATTACTCTTTTAGACAAACTACCAAGCAATTGCCCTTCTACATAATAAAAGTCAGAAGCAAAACTGAAAGTGATTGCAGTTGAAGAAAAATGTGTGTTTCCAGGCCATCCCATGACAGAGTTTGTTTACATACCTACTGCAACGGGAAGCAGGCACAGCAGTCCCTGCTTTACCAAGCTTCATCAATCTCTTCTTGTCCGGAGGCCCTAGGTTATGGAGCAAATTCTGCATAGCCCAAGTCTTTCCCCCATTTTCTTTATGCCCCTAGGTTAGGTCCCATGACGATAGACTGTTCTGTTAAGCCACCTGTAAACTTTAGATTTAGGGCATATGGTGCGAATAAATGGAGACAAAGACCCTGAACACCAGAACTCAAGCATGTACATTAAAAACAATGCATGATGCAGGACTTAAGACCTGTCAGGAGCCATGATGGAAAACCCACCAAAACAATGGAGTTAAAAAATTAAATAAAATGGGCAAGAGTGAAAATTTTTTTGGGGTGCCTATTCCAGAACTATGGTCTCCAGAGGATTGTTACCTATGCCACTGTAAATCGGGAGATCATGGTTCTCAAGATCCTGGGAAACTTTAGTTGTAATTTCAGTATCACTGTAGCAGGATAATTTCATGAATCTACTACACAATAAATCCTTTTGTTTGAATGTCACTGACACTTCAACGACACATACCCAGTAAGTTAGGATCTACTTCATTCCAATCAAAGGAGGTGAGGGGAGCACAGAAGTCAGAGTTTTTGTTATTATTCAGAAGACACTCCAGACGGGTCTCTGTCTCTCCAACCTGTACAGAATGGAACAAAAAAGGTCAATTTTGTTTAAAAGTGTGAACTATTAGCTGATAACTAACAAAATGTGTCTTACGTATTTTTTGACATCTACTCACCCTCCAGACACGAAGATAGTCCCCGCTTGTTGCCAGCAAGTCTGGGTACACCCCTTTGGTGTCAGGAATCCACATGAGCTTTGTGGTGGGATATGGGTGATCAAAAGTGTTCCTGCAGATAAACTCAGAGCTTTCCTCATCCAGGCCAACCAGCTGAACCTAAACAAGATCAATGGTCATTGGTAAGAATGTCTCTAACATCGGCGGTCAGCAGGAAGAATGTCCTTCACATTGGTGGTCATCGGGAAGAACGCTCCTTCCATTGGCGGGAAGAACGCCCCCCTTCCATTGGCGGTCAGCGGGAAGAACGCCCCCTCTTCCATTGGCGGTCAGCGGGAAGAACGCCCCCCTTCCATTGGCGGTCAGCGGGAAGAACGCCCCCCTTCCATTGGCGGTCAGCGGGAAGAACGCCCCCCTTCCATTGGCGGTCAGCGGGAAGAACGCCCCCCTTCCATTGGCGGCCAGAACGCCCCTTCCATTGGCGGCCAGAACGCCCCTTCCATTGGCGGCCAGCGGGAAGAACGCCCCTTCCATTGGCGGTCAGCGGGAAGAACGCCCCTTCCATTGGCGGCCAGCGGGAAGAACGCCCCCCTTCCATTGGCGGCCAGCGGGAAGAACGCCCCCCTTCCATTGGCGGCCAGCGGGAAGAACGCCCCCCTTCCATTGGCGGCCAGCGGGAAGAACGCCCCCCTTTCATTGGCGGGAAGAACGCCCCTTCCATTGGCGGCCAGCGGGAAGAACGCCCCTTCCATTGGCGGCCAGCGGGAAGAACGCCCCTTCCATTGGCGGCCAGCGGGAAGAACGCCCCTTCCATTGGCGGCCAGCGGGAAGAACGCCCCTTCCATTGGCGGCCAGCGGGAAGAACGCCCCTTCCATTGGCGGCCAGCGGGAAGAACGCCCCTTTCCATTGGCGGCCAGCGGGAAGAACGCCCCTTCCATTGGCGGCCAGCGGGAAGAACGCCCCTTCCATTGGCGGCCAGCGGGGAAGAACGCCCCTTCCATTGGCGGCCAGCGGGAAGAACGCCCCTTTCATTGGCGGTCAGTGATAGGAATGCCCCTTTCATTGGCGATCAGTGGGAAGAATGCCCCTTTCATTGGCGATCAGTGGGAAGAATGCCCCTTTCATTGGCGATCAGTGGGAAGAATGCCCCTTTCATTGGCGATCAGTGGGAAGAATGCCCCTTTCATTGGCGATCAGTGGGAAGAATGCCCCTTTCATTGGCGATCAGTGGGAAGAATGCCCCTTTCATTGGCGATCAGTGGGAAGAATGCCCCTTTCATTGGCGATCAGTGGGAAGAATGCCCCTTTCATTGGCGGTCAGTGGGAAGAATGCCCCTTTCATTGGCGGTCAGTGATAGGAATGCCCCTTTCATTGGCGATCAGTGGGAAGAATGCCCCTTTCATTGGCGCTCAGTGGGAAGAATGCCCCTTTCATTGGCGCTCAGTGGGAAGAACGCCCCTTTCATTGGCGCTCAGTGGGAAGAACGCCCCTTTCATTGGCGCTCAGTGGGAAGAACGCCCCTTCCATTGGCGGTCAGTGGGAAGAACGCCCCTTCCATTGGCGGTCAGTGGGAAGAATGCCCCTTTCATTAGTGTTCTGTGAAAAGAAGGCACCTTACATTGGTGGTCAGTTGGAAGAATGTCCCATTGACATTCTAAAAAGGGCATTCTTTCCACTGAGGGGAAAAATGCTCCTTACATTGGTGGTCAGAATGCCACCTCTGCAGACAGCTAAATAAGTTGGCCAAGTGGCATTGGATATTAAAATTTTTTAGGCATCATCAGATGGGAGGTCAATCAGTCACAGCTCATGGAACCACTCTGAAAAAAACTTTCTGATCTTGGGGAACCCCTGCTAAAAATTACTGTATGTACAACATATATTTGTGTGATGGTCAGTGAGAAGAATACTCCTTGCACTTCTGGTCATTGGGAAGAATTATACCTTTACAGGTAGCTAAAAATATGAATTGTGTCAGTGGGAACTTATCTGAGAAGAAGAAATTGATCAGTGCTCAAGGAACCCCTAGCAACCTCTGCAAGACCCTCGGCTGACAAGCCCCGGTCTGCAGGTGCCCCCGGCTGACAAGCCCCGGTCTGCAGGTGCCCCCGGCTGACAAGCCCCGGTCTGCAGGTGCCCCCGGCTGACAAGCCCCGGTCTGCAGGTGCCCCCGGCTGACAAGCCCCGGTCTGCAGGAGCCCCCGGCTGACCAGCCCCGATCTGGAGGAGCCCCCGGCTGACCAGCCCCGTCTGCAGGAGCCCCCGGCTGACCAGCCCCGATCTGGAGGAGCCCCCGGCTGACCAGCCCCGATCTGGAGGAGCCCCGGCTGACCAGCCCCGATCTGGAGGAGCCCCCGGTTGACCAGCCCCGATCTGGAGGAGCCCCCGGCTGACCACCCCGATCTGGAGGAGCCCCGGCTGACCAGCCCCGATCTGGAGGAGCCCCCGGCTGACCAACCCTGATCTGGAGGAGCCCCCGGCTGACCAAACCCCGATCTGGAGGAGCCCCGGTTGACCAGCCCCGATCTGGAGGAGCCCCGGTTGGCCAACCCCGATCTGGAGCAACCCCGGTTGGCCAACCCCGATCTGGAGCAACCCCGATCTGGAGCAACCCCGGTTGGCCAACCCTGATCTGGAGCAACCCCGGTTGACCAACCCTGATCTGGAAGAGCCCCGATTGACAAACCCCGATTTGGAGGAACCCTGGTTGAGAATGTTTGGCTCAGACCGATGATATCAAGCAAACGCTCACTTAGACTGTACATTGTAATTCTGTAACAAATCACAAAGCGTGAGGCTGCAGCAGGGGGCTGATTTGCGTACAACATGTAAACAAAATGATTCCCTGCTGGAGCACTGGGCTGACATTGCTATGGCACCTAATCCCTCTGCCATAGTGGTACATGCACACTCAGTGCTCCAGCAGGGAACATTATTTTGTGGTTTTTGGCAATACAGATAACGTTAGGGCGCAGCGGGACTGTCGGACGTTCTAGTGTCCTGAGTGCGCATGCGTGGGGTCAGCACAGCTGGCTCAGGATGATGGTGCAGAGCAGGCGAGGGATTGGAAGAATCCACTGGAATGGCACAGAAGGTAGACACAGATGGAAAGGTAAGTGCCTATTGTACATTAGATGGCCATTTTATACATTGAATGAGCTGGGCCTTCCCTCTTTGGGGCTCCTGTTCGGTGTATGGGTGATTCAGGTCAGCATCAGGACCCCTCCCCATCATCTGTAGGGAGCCCCATACACAGATCATAACATGAAGGCCCCATCACCATGGTTACCTTATTATTGTATTCCTCCACAAAGCTGCCCAGAGCTAGGCGGAACCTCTTGTCCGGCCTCACACTCCAGTTCATGGCGTACACGGTCCATGGCGCCTCATACTTGTATATCTCCTTCCTTTTCCCGTGCAGGGACATGGCGGACAGCACACAACCCGACACCGCAACACAAACACCGAGCAGTCCTGGGGATACCGCCACGCATGCGCAAACACGCCGACGGCCACTGCTTGTACGGCTTCGGGCTTGGCCAATCACCGGGCAAGGGGGGCGGACCACTAGCCGACAGGGTTGGATACAACGTGGATTGGTTACATGGTTTACGTAGCCACGTTCTCTTTCGTCGTGCCGTCTAGTGAGAGAGGGCGGGCTTTGCGCGCGTGCATTTCAAGCCTCGTTTTGGAGTGAGGGGGAAAAAGGCGGGAACAGCGCCTCCCAGGACAGTCTGGGCGGAGAGTGCGAACACAGCTAGGGACTAATTATTTTTCCTCACAGAGGGGTCTACTGAGGTATTATTATGTCATTCAAGATTCCTATAGTGTGGGGAGAATTTATAACATGTAAGGAACTTATTTTGCGTGTTTCTTTTGACTGGAACATCCAGTTGACATTAATGAGACTCGTATTGTGAGAAAGGAGCCAAAATGTGGATGTAGAAGGGGGTAATATCATTTGGGCCCCCTCATACCAGCAATGGTGGCCTTCACTGACCCATAGAAGAACAAGGCGCGGCCCTATTCACTTAAATGAATTGCGGCGGTGGAACTGCCTGCGGAGCGTGATAGGACATCATTGTACACCCATACATGGCCGCCTTTGCAGATTAATGCCTCATGCACACCGAGTGTTGTCTGGGGCGTTTGTTTACTGCCTCTAAACGCCTCTCCATGTTACTGTCCATGCATACAACGCCTCTCCATGTTACTGTCCATGCATACTAAACGCCTCTCCATGTTACTGTCCATGCATACAACGCCTCTCCATGTTACTGTCCATGCATACAACGCCTCTCCATGTTACTGTCCATGCATACAACGCCTCTCCATGTTACTGTCCATGCATACAACGCCTCTCCATGTTACTGTCCATGCATACAACGCCTCTCCATGTTACTGTCCATGCATACATAGGCGATTAGAGGCAGAAAAAAAAACACGCCCAGGAGCCACAGCGTTTTGGAAGAAAAAACACGACCTGGGTAAACGCACATCAACACTAGGTGCACCTTTCGCTCGAGCGTTAATTCATTTCAATGGCCAGAATATGTTAATTGACATTTAAAAGTATAGCGGTTGCAACATTGTATCTATTTGTGTCCGAATAGAACCATCTGTGTCTGAAATGGATACAAATAGATACAATGTTGCAACTTTGCTATACTTTTAAATGTCAAATATAATAGCGGAGCTCTCTGCAGGGACACCGCTATTATATTTGCCGGCTGTAGACGGGACAAAAATCAGCCGATTTTTTTTAACAATGGTGGTAACTTCGACTGACTGAACGACCAATTTTTGTTTTTTTTTAAAAAAAAAAACCATCCAGTTTTCTCCCCATCCATGGCCTGCCTTATAGTCTATTAATTCACAGAACTCTGAATATATGACCATATGATACATTTTGGTCTAAATGTATGATGAAATTAGATTTTTTAAATTTTTGTTACTGGACATGCTTAATAGCAAAAAGCAAAATTGTTGGTCTTTTTTTTATAACACAAAAAAATAAAAACCGCACAGATCAAATACCACTGAAAGAAAGCTCTATTTGTGGGGGAAAAAAGGACATAAATTTCATTTGGGTGCAGTGTTTCAATTGTTAAAGTATCACAGCACAGTAACGCAAAAAATCACCTGGTCTGGAAGGGGGTAAATCCTCTGGAGGGCAAGTGGCTAAATATGGGTGTAACATGTTGGTGAGAGCCAGAACGCAGTGTGGGGAAACCCACGTTACTTGCGTATTTCCCACACTGCATTCCAAATACACTGCACTTGTGATCTGCAGTGTCACATGGGAGAAGTCAAAGATCGCCGGATACACTGTCGCCTGCGCACACCTGATTTAAACCTCTGATTACCATACTGCTGTTTCACAAATCACGTGCATTGCACAGCAATCATAGGTTTAAATCAGGTGGTGAGTAGGCAACATATCGCCTCCTCACCACCTGTCAAACACACTTGGATCGCTTTGTGACTGCTGCACTTATGAATGAGCCCTTAGTTGAATCCAGTAGTGGCACCCTTAGGGCTTGTTCACACATAAAGTTGGGTGGTAGTAAAACCCTGTTGTTGAGTCGCAGTTTTACCACCCCCAATCCCTACCCTCTTTAGCTGCTGAGGCAGTAGCCAAAGGTGTTCAGATGTAACAGCATCAATTAAATCCCCTGTTGTTATTGGTGGGTACTGCCAGTGACAACCTATTCAAGTAAATGGGGCCATTCTGCAAGCACCCCATAACTGCATGCTTCTGCGGGGTCCAAGGGGTTAACCACTTCCTGTCCGGACACTTTTTCCCCCTTCCTGCCCAGGCCAATTTTTCGGCTTTCAGCGCTATCACACTTTAAGTGACAATTGTGCGGTCATGCAACACTGGTCCCATTCTTTTCTCTGTGGCTGGTCCCATTCTTGCTTTTGAGGCTGGTCCCATTCTTTCCTATGTGGCTGGCCCCATTCTTTACTATATAACTGGTCTCATTCTTACCTATGTGACTGGTCCCATTCTTTCCTATGTGGCTGGTCCCATTCTTACCTATGTGGCTGGTCCCATTCTTTCCTATGTGGCTGGTCCCATTCTTTCCTATATAACTGGTCCCATTCTTTCCTATGTGGCTGGTCCCGTTCTTTCCTATGTGGCTGCTCCCATTCTTACCTATGTGGCTGGTCCCATTCTTTCCTATGTGGCTGGTCCCATTCTTCCTATGTGGCTGGTCTCATTTTTTCTTATGTGGCTGGTCCCATTCTTTCTTATGTTGCTGGTCCCATTCTTACCTATGTGGCTGGTCTCATTCTTTCATATGTGGCTGGTCCCATTCTTACCTATGTGGCTGATCCCATTCTTCTTATGTGGCTGATCCCATTCTTCTTATGTGGCTGATCCCATTCTTTCTTATGTGGCTGATCCCATTCTTCTTATGTGGCTGATCCCATTCTTCTTATGTGGCTGGTCCCATTCTTTCCTATGTGACTGGTCTCATTCTTACTTATGTGGCTGGTCCCATTCTTTCCTATGTGTCTGGTCCCATTCTTACCTGTGTGGCTGGTACCATTCTTATCTATGTGGCTGGTCCCATTCTTTCCCATGTGGCTGGTCCCATTCTTTCCCATGTGGCTGGTCCCATTCTTTCCCATGTGGCTGGTCTCATTCTTCCCTGTGTGGCTGGTCCCATTCTTTTCTCTGTGGCTGGTCCCATTCTTTTCTCTGTTGCTGGCCCAATTCTTTCCAATGCAAATGGTCCGATTATTTCTTATGTGGCTGGTCCCATTCTTTCCTATGTGGCTGGTCCCATTCTTTCCTATGTGGCTGGTCCCATTCTTTCCTATGTGGATGTCATATTATTTCCTATGTGGCTGGTCCCATTCTTACCTATGTAGCTGGTCCCATTCTTTCCTATGTGGCTGTTCCCATTCTTTCTTTTGTGTCTGGTCCCATTCTTTACCCTTGTGTCTGGTCCCATTCTTTCTTATGTGGCTGGTCCAATTCTTTCCTATGTAACTGGTCCCATTCTTAACTTGTGGCTGGTCCCATTCTTTCTTATGTTCCTGGTAACAGTCTTTCCCATGTGGCTGATCCTATTCTTTCCCATGAGGCTGGTCTCATTGTTCCCTGTGTGGCTGGTCCCATTCTTACTTATGAGGCTGGTCCCATTCTTTCCTATGTGGCTGGTCCCATTTTTTCCTATGTGGCTGGTCCCATTCTTCCTATGTGGCTGGTCCCATTTTTACCTATGTGGCTGGTCCCATCTTACCTATGTGGCTGGTCCCATTTTTACCTATGTGGCTGGTCCCATTTTTTCCTATGTGGCTGGTCCCATTCTTACCTATGTGGCTGGTCCCATTTTTACCTATGTGGCTGGTCCCCTTACCTATGTGGCTTATTCTACCTGTGGACTGGTCCCATTTCTTATCTATGTGGCTGGTCCCATTCTTTCCTATGTGGCTGGTTCTATTCTTCCTATGTGGCTGGTCCCATTCTTACCTATGTGGCTGGACCCATTCTTACCTATGTGGCTGGACCCATTCTTACCTATGTGGCTGATCCCATTCTTTGTTATGTGGCTGGTCCCATTCTTACTTATGTGGCTGGTCCCATTCTTTCTTATGTCTTTCTTATGTGGCTGGTCCCATTCTTACTTATGTGGCTGGTCCCATTCTTCTTATGTGGCTGGTCCCATTCTTTCCTATGGTCCCATTCTGGCTTATGTGGCTGTCCCATTCTTCCTATGTGCTGCTGGTCTCATTTTTTTCATTTATGTGGCTGGTCCCATTCTTTCTTATGTGGCTGGTCCCATTCTTACCTATGTGGCTGGTCTCATTCTTTCATATGTGGCTGGTCCCATTCTTACCTATGTGGCTGATCCCATTCTTTCCCATGTGGCTGGTCCCATTCCCATTCTTCTTATGTGGCTGATCCCATTCTTCTTATGTGGCTGATCCCATTCTTTCTTATGTGGCAATGATCCCATTCTTCTTATGTGGCTGGTCCCATTCTTCTATGTGGCTGGTCCCATTCTTTCCTATGTTATTTCCTGTGTCTCCCATTCTTACTTATGTGTCCCATTCTTTCCTGGTCCCATTCTTTCCTATGTGTCTGGTCCCATTCTTACCTGTGGCTGGTCCCATTCTTTCTATGTGGCTGGTCCCATTCTGGTCCCATTCTTTCCTATGTGGCTGGTCCCCCATTCTTTCCCATGTGGCTGGTCCCATTCTTTCCCATGTGGCTGGTCTCATTCTTCCCTGTGTGGCTGGTCCCCATTCTTTTCTCTGTTGCTGGCCCATTCTTTCCAATGCTATGTGGCTGATTTCCCATTTCTTTCTTATGTGGCTGGTCCCATTCTTTCCTATGTGGCTGGTCCCATTCTTTCCTATGTGGATGTCATATTATTTCCTATGTGGCTGGTCCCATTCTTACCTATGTAGCTGGTCCCCCATTCTTTCCTATGTGGCCTATGTGGCTGGTCCCATTCTTTCTTATGTGGCTGGTCCCATTCTTTGTACCCTTGTGTCTGGTCCCATTCTTTCTTATGTGGCTGGTCCAATTCTTTCCTATGTAACTGGTCCCATTCTTAACTATGTGGCTGGTCCCATTCTTTCTTATGTTCCTGGTAACAGTCCATTTTCCCTTATGTGGCTGGTCCCATTCCTATTCTTTCCCTTATTATGTGGCTGGTCCCATTCTTTCCATTCTGGTCCCATTCCTATGTGGCTGGTCCCCTACCTATTGGCTGGTTATTCTCCTATGTGGCTGGTCCCATTCTTACCTTATGTGGCTGGTCCCATTTTTCCTATGTGGCTGGTCCCAATTTTCCTATGTGGCTGTCCCATTCTTTCCTATGTGGCTGGCTCCATTCTTTCATTCCATTCTACCTATGTGGCTGGATCCCATTCTTTCTTATGTGGCTGGTCCCATTCTTTCTTATGTGGCTGTCCCATTCTTTCTATGTGGCTGCTCTTAATCTTTCTTATGTGGCTTCTCCCATTCTTTCTTATGTGGCTGGTCCAATTTTCCTATGTAGCTGGTCCCATTCTTCCCTGTTCTTATGTGGGATCCCATTCTTTCACTATGTGGCTGGTCCCAAATTCTTTCTATGTGGCTGGTCCCATTCTTTCCTATGTGGTCCCATTCTTTCCTGTGTGGCTGGTCCCATTCTTATCTATGTGGCTGGTGGTGGTCCCCCCATTCTTTCCTATATGGCTGGTCCCATTCTTTCCTATGTGGCTGGTCCCATTCTTTCCTATGTGTGGCTATGTGACTGGTCCCATTCTTTCTCCTATGTGGCTGGTCCTATATGGCTGGTTCTTTTTTTCCTATGTGGCTGGTCCCATTCTTTTCTTATGTGGCTGGTCCCATTTTTTTCCTATGGTCCCATTACTTATTGGTCCCATTCTTACTTATGTGACTGGTCCCATTCTTACTTATGTGACTGGTCCCATTCTTACTTATGTAGCTGGTCCCATTCTTACTTATGTGGCTGGTGCCATTCCTACCTATGTGGCTGGTCCCATTCTTACCTGTGTGGCTGGTCCCATTCTTGGCTGTATGTGGCTGGTCCCATTCTTATGTATGTGGCTGGTCCCATTCTTATGTATGTGGCTGGTCCCATTCTTATGTATGTGGCTGGTCCCATTCTTATGTATGTGGCTGATCCCATTCTTATGTATGTGGCTGGTCCCATTCTTTCCTGTGTGGCTGGTCCCATTCTTTCTTATGTGGCTGGTCCCATTCTTTCCTGTGTGGCTGGTCCCATTCTTTCCTGTGTGGTAGCTGGTCCCATTCTTTCCTGTGTGGCTGGTCCTATTCTTTCCTGTGTGGTGGCTGGTTCCATTCTTTCCTATGTGGCTATTTCCATTATTTCTCATGTGAGTGGCCCCATTCTTTCATATGTGGCTGGTCCCATTCTATCCTAACGTGAGTGGTCCTATTCTTTCCTGTGGGCTGGTCCCATTCTTTCCTGTGTGGCTCATCCAATTCTTTCCTATATGGCTGCTTCACATCTACACATTGCTGTTTATTGTGTTTTTTTAAGACTATATGGACTCATACACACACCCACACATGTGCATTACCACATGTGTGCATAGGTATAAATAGGCCCTAAAGGTACATCCGCACAGGCGTTTAGCAATGCTGCAAATCTTAGCGTTGCGTGCAGCCACTATCACCACAGGTAATTGCTGGCTGTGTGAAAAGTTAGCTGCGGCCACCAACAGCTTGTCTTCGTGGCTCAGCAGCCCTAGCTGTCAGTTCCAGCTGCAGGCATTGGTAGATTCTTTCTGCTGGCATATGCAGCACAGCTACAGAAAACGCCCGCACTAAAGTAGTATAAGTTATTTACAGTAGGCAGCATAGAGTGCAGTAAGACCCAAACACAGTTTCTGATTTTAAAGGCGACCCAAACTCTGATTTGTATTGTTAAAAAAGTTGTAGCAGAAAATAAAAACTCTGAGGCCAATAGCTGGCAAAAAATGCATATTTATTAAAGTTTTATAATAATCTCTAAAACGCAAGAATAAAAATGTTCACAGTTTTCTGTTGTCTGGATTCCTGTTGGTGCCAAAACCCAGACTTGTCGCCACAGTTTACCTAACACGGCACACACCAGATGGCGAGAGCCTCAGTCCAGTCCAACTCATAAACTCCCCAAACCCTTATAAAGGAGGTTACAGGAATATTACAAGTATTTCTGCCACCGGAAGGTTCTTCATCAAACCTAATAACAGAATGGCTTGTACTTCTGTAATGGCGAATGAAACTTTTTTAGAACACATTAAATGTAAATAAATGCAACAGTTCCATTTTAATGTAATATTTATGAATAATGCATTCTACAGGGTTTACAGCATATCTTTAATACGGGCCTTAAATTGTTTGCAATTACACTATTGGGTTGTTACAGGGTCAGGTCACCCACAGCTGATATTTCAGTTATGAGTGGACATCATTGGGCTAAATTACTTTCTGGCTTTTACACAGTACCTCTTTAAAACATTGTTGGTCAGCTTTCCCATTTTGCTTTTGCGACTCTGACCCATACTTCCATGGAGTTGTACCCCTTCTACTATAGCTGTGGGAGGCTCACTTTGGTTGGTGTATTCTCCATACAATAAAAGAAAAATGCAACTTTTCCTATTGAACTGGCTGCAGTAGAAAGGAAAGTGGACTCAAATGTCGAATTCCTATCACTGGTGTGCCATAGAGATAGAAGCTGTTTGGGCGATACTGCCAACATCTACCCAAAGGTGAACATCGCGTTGTGCTGAAGTATATACAGATCTACAGAAAAATAACTGCCACATTCACATTTTGTTGCATGCTTTCAAACATTCGGGAACATAAAAGATGGGTCATGGAAGAAATGCCCAGTCTGACTAACCCAGCCTGCTTTTAGGTCAGCTTTTTGGAAGACATTAGTTGAAGGCAGCCTCGAATATACAGAATATATTCATCATTTGCATTAAAACACAGCTGTCTTTTTTGGACCGTCCAACATGATCACTCCACAGTGTAAAAAATAATCTGCTCCTGAACTTCTCTCTCTCTGTTAAAAATCACATTGGGGTTGAGTTACTAAAACTGGAGAGTGCAAAATCTGGTGCAGCTGTGTATAAGAGCCAATCAGCTTCTAACATCAGCTTGTTCAATTAGGCTTTGACAATAAAACCTGGAAGCTGATTGGTTTCTATGCAGAGCTGCACCAGAATTTGCACTCTCCAGTTTTAGTAAATTAACACCAATGCCTTTAGGAATTTCTGTTGAGGGTTTAGTTGTTCAGTGAATTTAAATTCAAAGATACAAAGAAGTTCAGGGCAGCGTATTTTGTACCTTATGAACTGGGTCATTTTGCAGCGTCTGTATACCTAAGTAATTGTTTTGCTTCAAAAGGGCCCTTTTTCTAAATCTTAAAGCAAAGTAGTGCCTGGATGTGTCCATAGTTGTCTAAGGGCAGATACACTTGATAACCTCCACATTAAAGTGGTTCTAAAGCCTAAACATTTTTTTTCTCCTTCCAGTCGATGTGGCGCATATATGCGGCCTCTCAGTGGGTGGTCTTTAAGTCTTTAATGCCGAGAAGCCGCAAGTATGCAACCCTATGTAAACAACTCTCTGTGCTGAGAGCGAGCGCCCTGCGTGCTCCCAGCATAGACACTGGCGGGGACCGGAAATCTCCCGATACTAGTAATTGGAAGCTGTCCAATTATGTGACCGCTGTGACAGCCAATCACAGCGGTTACATGACCCAAATGCCCGCCTCCATCTCCTAGCATTTAAAAGCTCTTAAAGGGCCAGGAAGCGTCGACAGGAAGGAGTTAATGCATTCCTTCCATTAAGGTAAAAAATGTTGAGGTAGCAGTATGCCCCATCCCCCCTCCTCTTTATATTTATCTTCAGTCGATCCATTGCTGTCCCTATCTGTAGCGGCTCTCTTCCTTCTACCCACTTTCACAGGCTTGGCTGAGAACAGCAGGTGCCATTGGCTCCTGATGCTGTCAGTCAAATCCTGTGACGAAGGAGTGGTGGGCGGGGCAAGGCTGAGCGATCTCTGTGTCTATAGATGCAGGCAGTGTGGATCGTGGCCACACTGTGCAATTCCATTGCACAGAGCAGGTAAGTACAAACCTTTTTGTTATTTTAAAAAATAGAATTTACTATAACTTTAATTTGTGTTGGCCTGGGCAATCCATGGTTCCCAGGTATACAGTATGCTCAGGGCCTAAAAGCAAACTTTCCCATGCAAGACAAAACTATAGGATACTTTTAATATCCCTTTCCTCAGCAGAACATGATGCTCCATTCAGTCTTCGGAAGCAAGGCAAAATAACCTGTACTTCCAAGTGTCAAATAATTTGCTCGCTATCCTATTTGCTCTCTATATGAACAAAATACAAAACGTAAAAAAAAAAAATGGGCAGACTCGATGGACCACTCAATCTGTTTCCTGCCGTCACTTTTCTATGTTTATCTTTCCTCTTATGTGACAACAACGGTGTTTAAAGATTGGCCTGGCACTCTTTGCATGGGGACAGGGAGGTAATTCTTTTTTTTTTTCTTGCTCCTAACATCTCAATAGAGTGGCAGAAAAATGACAGAAAGGTAAGTATGTTGTGCTGCTGGTGAGTGTACATGTTCACTTTAATGGCTCAGCTCTACCACTTTCCAAAGTTAAGCCCAGCCCTTACTGATTTAATGTCCAACTGTCAGGCTGTAAAAGGATATTAAAGTGGAACTTTAGTCAGAAAATGAAGTCCTGCTAGATCACTTCAGGCTGGCCCCTCTTGCAGGTATAGCTATGTAAAACATTAAAAAACAAGTGCCTATACCACGGGTGTCAAACTGGCGGCCCTCCAGCTGTTGCCAAACTACAAGTCCCATGAGCCATTGCAAGATTGACAGTTACAAGCATGACTCCCAAAGGCAGAGGCATGATGGGACTTGTAGTTTCACAGCTTGAGGGCCGCCAGTTTGACACCCCTAGCCTATACTGTTTAACCTCTTCGCGTCGGCCAGGCGTCTGGGCCTAGACGCCGAGCAGCCGCACATTTGCATTCCATTAAAAAAAACATATGTGCTGAGAGCGCACGCCCTGTGCGGTCCCTGCACACATGTCCGGTACTCACGGAAAGGTCCCGATCTCCTCTTTCGATCAGGACCTTTCCTGATCATGTGACCGCCGTGACGGCGTTGACATGACTCCAAACCCCGCCCCGCCTCCCAGCTTCTGAAACTCTTAAAGGCCCGGGAGGCGCCGGCGTGAAGGGGTTGAAATCCATTAATACTTTGTCTCACCCTGCTTTGCACATGCTCAGTTGCTCTTTATTTTTAGGCACTGCCAAATTTGTAGAGGCCGATCTGCTGACAGTCTAACAATTAAAGCAGAACTAAACCTATGGATTTAACAAATTCAAAACACAGTTACATTTCTGGCATAACCCCCAGTGTGTCTTTGTTGTCTTGTGAATGCTGTGATTGGCTCTAACAGTGGTCACATGATGGACAACCTGTCCGGCTGGTTCCTGATCAGAAGCCATGATCGAGAGCTGTCGATGATTGCTTGGTCAGTGTGCTGCGAGCTTGCAGTGAGTGCGCTTTCAGAACACAACCTCAGGCTGCTGTGGATGTATATTGCAGCTGCTGGTTGTTAAAGCCTACCTTTCCTGCCACTTCATATATACGTTACACAATTGTAAAGAGGTTAATGATAATGGAATTATAATCTGGTTCACAGGACATGTAATGATGTTTGGTGTTTAGTGCATTTAAGTCTGACAAGGGATCGATTTGTAACTGTGTAATAAACATACAGTAGGTTCACTGGAAAATAGAGCACGGCTCCGTACTGACATGTAACCTCAGAATCATTGCTACAAGGAGTGTATCCTTCTCTTTTTTGAGTAACCATTAGAACTTGTCAGGAAAATGTACAATGGACAGACACTAGGGCATATTTATCAAAGCTGAATTCCAGGCAGGTATAAAAACGCACACTGTTATTTTATCACTAAAATAAAATTTTATATATTCTATTCTAAAAGCAGCCAGTGTAAGTACCTGAATTTGTCTTAATATATGTCTCCTGTGATCCCTTGCATAGCAGCAATCAGAATGGGACATTAGGCCTTTCACATATTTCTGTGTTGTAGAATGCTGCACATCAAACAATGGAAGCTCCCTAAGTGGAGGAGAGAGCAGAGTGATGACGACAACAGTTTGCTGCTGCTCCTTCATTGTCCAGTCACAGGCTGGGGCAGGTCCTGGACCAGGCTGTATGATCCAAAAAAATAGAGTATGAAGGGAAGTCACGGGGAATGCCAGGGATGCAGGATCACTAAGCTGGCTAAACAGTGTTACAAACCCTTTGGACAGTAAGACTGTTCTTATATATGTATTTCAATTATGTATTTAGCAGTTTGCCTGGAGTTCATCTTTAACACAATGGTATACAGTAATACAAAGCAACCTGTACATTTAAGCTTTCTTTTTTTCAAAGTACGGTAATTGCGTTTGATATCTTGCTGTCAGTAACTACACCTTTCATGGCTTATTCCGTACAGTAGATTTATGAAAATATGCCCAAATCAGAGTTCTAAAATGTTTTAAGTAACTAGATTGGTGTACTGTATTAGCATATGATCATTCTGCTACCTAAGATTGTACACCCCTTGAGGGTTAGGGACTGATGTGAATGTACAATATATATGTAAAGCGCTGCGTAAATTGATGGCGCTTTATAAGTACCTGTAATAAATAAATAAATAAATTCTGCAGTTCAGTTTTGGGCAACTTATACTGCTAATACTGCCGAGAAGCTACATGTTCCCCTATGACCCACTGACCTTCATGATGGTAAGGGCAATTTCTCAACAGCTGAAGCAACACATTACTTCTATACAGGGGCGGACTGACCATTGTGGAACACGAGCACTGCCCGAGGGCCCTGGGTCAGTAGGGGGCCCCATGAGATGTCCCTGGTACCTTTCATAGGCTTTTTTGGGTGTGGTTTGAGTGTGGGCAAGGACACAGGGGCCCCATGATCCCCTATTGCCCGGGGGGCCCCATGAGTTGTCAGTCCGCCCCTGCTTCTATATAAACCGTGTGATCACTGTGCAGTGAATTAACCCCAGCTAGTAAGCATTGGAAGTCCTATATGGCTCTCAGTTACGTTTAATTCATATTGTGGAAACCTGCATGCCTGAACACCTTATTGTGTACTTGTGCTGAGCATAAACCCAAGCAGATGATGCCTAGTAATATCCCTTGATCATATTATGTAACTAAGTAATTTGAAATTATATTTTATTGTCTCCTCTGTTGCTGATAAAATTTCAATGTTGCTGGAGAAATGTTTCCCGTTCCTTATATTCTATTTTATTGTTTCAGGGTGATTGTATGAAAAATTGACTCTTGCACTTACACCAGCATCAACTATATGCCTTGAGTATCTGCACAGTGCACGTTTGCTAAGGTATGTCTAGCATCAGCTATATACTTTATTCTTTTTCGCCTTCTCTGTAAAAACAAAATAAACGTAACAGTGTTATAGAACAGAATTTGACCAATAAGCCTCATTTGTTGAAGTTCCTAAAAGAAGAATTGTCTAAAGCTGGCCATAGATTGGTATAATTTTGAACAAAGATTCTTAATCACTTCCAGTCCGGACACTTTCACCCCGGACACTTTCACCCCCTTCTTGTCCAGGCCAATTTTCAGCTTTCAGCGCTTTGAATGACAGTTATGCGGTCATGCAACACTGTAACCATATGAATTTTTAAGCATTTTTTGAGACAAATAAAGCTTTATTTGGTGGTATTTATTCTCCACTGGGATTTTTATTTTTTTTGCTATATAAATGAAAAAGTCCAAAAATGTTGAAAAAGTGTTTTTCTTATAAAATTTTGCAAATAAATAATATGTCATCATAAATCTTGGCCAAAATTTATTCAGTTATCTTTTTAGTAAAAAAAAAAATAACCCAAATTAGTTTATAACCAAAAATTATAATTTAAAAATTTTTTTTTTAAATTTTTATTTTATTTTTTTATATTATTATTTATGGGTTTTTTTTTCTACATACTGTCACCCTAGCAGTACAGTGTCACTATGGTAACACTGTACTACTTGTGGGGGGTGATGATTTTTTTTTTTACACTTTTACACCCATAAAGTCTGTAAAAGCAATCATTTTTTTTACACTTTTACACCCATAAAGTCTGTAAAAGCAATCATTTCTCCCTCTCTCTGGCTGCATTCTTGCAGCCATTGAGAACTACTGTGTGAGCTGTGATTGGTCACAGCTTGTCACATGGTACAAGGCTGTTGTGAATAGCCTTCTACCATGTGATCTTGTGATCATTCACAGATTTCGCACGTAGTAAGCAATGGTGTCAGAAGTGACATCTTGCTTACTACTCTGCATGTGATCACTGATTGGCCAATCAGTCCCGTATGACGATCGGGGAAACGGATCGCGGTGCTGCGCACTCCCAGGGAGCGCGCACAGTCCATAATGGCGGGCGCCGCTTATGAACGGCAACCCGCCCCTGGACTGCCACTGTACGGCCGTTTATATACAGCAGCCGGACAGCAAGTGGTTAAGAAAAGAATGTTCTAAGAAAGTTTCCTCAATTTTCCAATCATTAGTGGATCAAACTGACAAACTTTGTCAAAGTGAAGAGAAAATTTGAAGGAGTGAGATAGTATTTTTTTCTTGAAAGAACAAATTTCTAACAGTGTATGTGGTTGTTTGGTAAAGTTCATTTATTCCAAAATCAACTTTTAAAGTAAACAAAATCTTTCGAAAAGTTTAAGTGCTTTGAGAATGATCAGAGCATTTAAATTCAAATTTTCCTAAGACTTTTCCTAAGATTTTTCATTTGAAATTCTTTCCATCTATGACCAGCTTTAGTCTATGTTGCTCTACCTAAACGAATTACATTTGGCTTTTGCACTTATTGTTTGAGACAGAATTGGAGTAGTTCTAAAACTAGAGCACTCAGAACCTGGTGCAGCTGTGCATGGTAGCCAATCAGCTTCTAACTTCAACTTCCTCAATTAAGCTTTGACAGTAAAACCTGGAAGCTGATTGGTTTCTATACAGAGCTGCACCAGATTTTGCACTCTCCAGTTTTAAATCCCCCCAAATCTTCTCTCAGATGCTTCCATAAATGTGAATTGTTGTCATAATAACACATGAACCTAAAAAGTAACCCTTTCCATATCAACATTGAGGAGCTTCACTTATAATGACACTGCTTTGAAGCTGAATTCCTTTATTGCAGCCAGAAGGTGCCTACAGCCATTCCCGTTCTGGCTGCCATATCTGACACTATGTGGCAGATGAACCATGTAACAAAAGAATGTGGTACAAAAACATTATGCACACGTGCATAGTTAAAGTGTTACTAAACTCACAACAGTAAAATCAGTCTGTATATGCAGTAAAGCATGCTTGTTATACTCACTGTGGAACCTAAGGGGTTAATCCTCTGCATTGTGTAAAAAGGCTGTTTGATCCTGATTTCTCTGATCCTCCCCTTCTATTACTGTCCCCAATTCATCTGCCATAATACATAATTCTTTGGAGGATGGGGGTCTGAGGTTAACATCCGAGCCCTCTAATTGACTTTGGCCACAGAGATGTGATAGTAGCATGCCTGCTGTGGTGTTGGGATGGCCTAAAGGTATCTTAACATTTCCTGTGTGGCCATAAACAGTACAATTGGGCGAACATTACTTTCATGTCTGTGGGCACATTTAAATTTTTTTCTTTTCATTTAAAAAAATAAAACTGTTGATTTCTGTTTGAAAAGCCAACATTTTTAAACACAATCATGGTCATGAAACTATTAAATTTAACAAACGTTGGTAAACATTAGGGTTGCACTGATACCTTTTTTTTTATTAGCGAGTATGAGTACCAATACTTGTACTCAAGTACTTGCCGATACCAATTACCGATTTGCGGTGCGATTTGAGCCCATACAAAATGAATGGCCTCAATTCACAATGCAAAGAATCACATGCGATTTGAACAGGAAAGTGGTGCGATTACTGTCTGAATTCCATGTGGTTTCCGTGCGGGTGCGATGCAATGTGATGTGCAGTGAGATTTGAGCCATTCATTTTGTATGGCACAAATCGCACCAAACCCACAGGAAAACTGTATGTGCTTCAGACAGGAACTGCATTGTATTCCCGTTCAATTCACATGTGATTCTTTGCAGTGCAATCTGAGCTCATTCATTTTGTATGGCTCAAATCGCAAAG